TGGACGGACAGACGGACAGATCAAACGGTAAGGACAAAGGGAATATTAAACTACCAGAGCACACACACCAATTATAAGCAGCTCTCGTGAAGGCATTCACGTGGACGTATGTCTTAAACAATGTTGAATATTATATAGATTAGGTTGTTCTCCAAAATTTAAAGACATATTTAGAGTTTTTTTTTCATTTAAGTAAAGGCGGGTATTTTTAGAGAGAGTACGCGTGACAATTTAATCACACCTATAAATGTCACATCGTGCGTGGCCGAAAATTTCTTCGTTGTGAAAAAGTATGCATAAGTCTTCTCAAATGCCACTATACTGAAGCCAGAGACCACGTAAGAGCAGCTGCTACCGGGTCCCCGCGCAACGGGTTGGGAGTCCTCCCGGCAGAGTAAGCTTCACCACTGAGGCGACGCGTCACAGCCCCTCGAAGCCCGCCTGTACCTTGTTTAGCTACCGGTGGGTGGCCGGCCGGCACTGGGGATCGAACCCCGCACCTCCCGTAACTGAAGCGGACGCGTACGTGCAATGCCACCGCTACGGTATAAGAGCAGCTGCTGACTTGGGCCCAGTAAATATGCTCCCTTAGACTGCATATTGTGGCTGAAGCAAAAAGCCACATTAGGGGAGAAGGGTAGCTTTTTCTTGTTTGGGAAAAGGAAAAATTTGTGGATCCCGCAACTGTCTCGGACTGAGAAGGATACCTCAGCAGTAGTGCACTGGCTGAGGGGAATGGGAGTAAACGAATAAAGCGGAGAGAGGTGAGGGACGGTTGATTAAAAATAGATTGATTGATATGTGAGGTTTAACGTCTCAAAACGATTATATGATTATGAGAGATGCCGCAGTGGAGGGCTCCGGAAATTTAGACCACCTGGGGTTCTTTAACGTGCACCCAAATCTGAGCACACGGGCCTACAGCATTTCTGCCTCCATCAGAAATGAAGCCGCCACAGCCGGGATTCGAACCCGCGACCGGCTGGTCAGCAGCCGAGTACCTTAGCCACTAGACCACCGCAGTGGGGCAATTAAAAAAATATCACTGCACATCCACGAGGTGAATGATGACGAGTGGGGCGAAGCGTACGGACGGATGGACGAATAGATGGACGGACGCGTGGACGGACTGATGGACACTTCACCCCACTCATCATAATTCACTCCATGGATATTCTGTGACACCATTTTTATTGCCATGCAATTCAATGCAACTGGCTACGACTACGATGACACGGGACATACGACCCACGGTATAAGGAGCTTCGCCCCGAAAAGAAAGAGAGGACAAGAAAAGGAAAAAGAATCACAAGCGCTCTGGGAGCCTCGCCACGTCGATAAAATCGAGCAGTGCCGACAAGACATGTTTAACGCCATTGCACCAGTAGCGATTGAAGAGCAGATGCCCGATGTTGTTCTTTAGAGGCCAAGTTTGGCGTAGACTATTATGAGATTGCTTCTTGCTCCGCCGAAAACGGGTCAGTGGAGCAGCAGATCGATGATCCAGAGTTTCTGTGCTTCCACGGTCAACACAGGAGGGTCTGCCTTGTCCGATGGGCCAATGAATGCGTTCGTAGGCACGAGGAAGTCCTCTAAATGTGGGAGGGGTTGTGGCCGCTTGCAGGCCACCATGTCCGTATACTGGTTCTTTACTTTTCACCGTTTTCGTCTCGCGACTACCAAGAGTTTGTGACTTATAGTTTGTGAGCTCGCAGTGAAAATTTTCCAAATACTAGGTCAATGCATGTTCCTCGGATCGTGGTTGGTTTCATATCGTCATACGATATACATCTGAGTGCATTGTTAGAAGCCACATGTTGGATATGTCAATGATTGGTCATGTCTACGATATCAAAGTTGAAATCTCGAACGAGTATGAACGGCATCATCAGCTCCACATACAAGTACCGCCATCAACGGCATATACCCGCTCTAGAGCGAGTATGTGCCGCCGGTGGCTACGTACGTCACCAACAAACCCCATGGGATGTAGAGACGCACGCTCTGAGTAGCTTAGGGCGTGGGTCTGTACCCACGCCCTAAAAAAAAAGTTTAACGATTTTGAGTAGTTCGTACTCAACTAAGGAAAGAATGCACGTGTTCATAGAAATGTAACTTACGTCTCGTGAAGTGAACTTTTCTCGTCTCCTCACTCCTAGATTAACCCACATGGTGGTCCCGCTTCCTCAGCTGCTCCTTTCCGCAATATTATTGCTCTGTTGTACTTGGAAACAATGCATATAAAACAGGACAAGAAAAACAATACATTGTGGCAAGCGTAGTTTGCAATTCTTTTGCAGTTTGTTCTCTCACGTTGGGAAAACTAGATTCAAAGCTGTTCGAATGGACCTTTCTAAAGTAAGGACTTCTTTACGCATCTTTGCATTTTTTTACTTAAAACAATATTTACTTTCCGTGAAAGTACACATTGTTTATTGTTTACGGTAAAGTAAATATTGCTTATTAATTACTACGCTTGCCTCAATGTATTTTTTCTTGTCCTGATTTATATGTATTCTTTCCAAGTACAACAGGGCAATAATATTGCGGAAAGGAGCAGCTGAGGAAGCGGAGCCACCATGTGGGTTAATCTAGGAGTTTACTTTGACATCCGCTAGAGTGCTTTGTCATTGAATCGGGCATCTGTGAGTATAGGAGATAAAAAAAAGTACTATTTTGCAAGTCAGACTACTAGTGCTATAGGGGAGGAAGGCAAAATATCTAGAAGTTGGCAGACTTTTTGTTTTCCGAAGAAAAAAAATTCCTGTATTTTCCATTTCGCTTGTTTCTACATCCCCTTGACACCAAATGTTGCCGGAATATTGCCCGTCTTCTGCGCACTGAATGTCCAAGTTGTTCGAACTTGAAGCTTTAACGTGGTGATTAATTCTTTCGCAAGGCCGTATGATAATTATACGAGGCCGCATGGTCATGTCTGATCTCAGGAAGCGAGGAAAGTGTTCGGTAGTCCATCGCCCAGCACCGTCTACTTATGTCCTTATAAAAGGGAAAAAGATGAGAAAAGTGAGCCCCGTAACTGTCTGCATCTGGTGCGACACCTCAACAGTAGCTCACAAGGGACGGGGGGTAAGGAGGGATTAAAAGGTAAATAGAGAGAGAGGCGCAGGGACGGGGAGCGACGGAAGTAAAGAGAAGATATAAGAAAAATCAACCCGGTCACAGGAGTCCGAGGACGGGGCACCACTGGCGAGAGCTCTTGTCGGCAACAGGAGATGTCGGCAACGACATTTCCGCCTTCATAGGAAATGCAGCCGCCGCAGCCGGGATTTGATCCCGCGACCTGTGGTCAGCAGCCGAGTACCTTAGGCACTAGACCACTGCGGTGGGGCATACCGTATACTTCACCTGTGCAGAAGCCATTTGGTTTGATGACAGAGGCCTGCCAACGTTAGTTGCCCGTTTCGCATCCAAACCAAAATTTTTTTCTATAGATCAGCCTCTGGTCTATCAGTATCTAAAACATCCTGTCAGATGTTTCGATGAAAGAATACCCTAATAACTTTGAATCTCGAAATTCATGCCACATGACTACATTAGAGTTTTGAGCGCTAGCAGACAAAATGCTTTTTAAAGAACGCTTTAACTGCTTCAAACGCCTTTGAACTGAGCGTGGTGACAATTCATTGTCACGACTCTCAAAACAATCCAGGACGTAGTTTCTAAAATAGTTGGGGCAAGGTAACTTGCAATTTTTGTGAAAAGATGTGTCCAGGAGTTAAAACAGACCACGAAAGTTTACTGCTTGGATTGATACGTTATGGAGCAGGGGGAGAGTGCAACCATATTTAGATCTTTTGTTGAGCACAACTCTCTTTCCTGATATGCACTGGCCAATTGCAGTCGAAAATAAGTAACGGCTACTTATAAGTGCACACTGACGTTTTATTCTGCTGAAGTCTAAAACCAATGTATGAAGCTATTCAATCTCCTGAAGTGCTTGGTCAAGCGCAATCTTTTTGTCTCAGGTAAGAAAACAAGAGAGCGCACTATTGAGTGTATATTCATTCGAAGTGCTCTCAACCTTCAGTCCGGGTTACCCAAATCAGGTTTTTATTTTCGGAGGGCAGTAGGCTTAAGACGACAAGTGCTTGTGTTTTCTCGGGCAGCACATTTTAAGACAGCACCATACGTGCGACGTTCGCATAATGTTGGTTTTCGCACTATTTCGTAATGAAGCCAGTTTGTGATGCGGTGTTGTTATCAGTTACTAATATTGGAAAGCGACTGAAGTTAGTACACGCAGTCTGGGATGACTAGAGTTTCGCCATTGGTGAATGCACCATGACACAAGACAGAGAACTTGTGGTGACTTTCACAATTAGGTCATCGCACTTCAGTGTTGTATTATTTACAAACACGGTCACATGCTGAGAGTAATTCAGCCTTGAGTAGACGTACGGTAATGGCTAAACAAACCCGCCACGGCTGTGTAATGGCTAAGGCACAAGGCTGCTGACCCGCAGGTCACGGGATCGAATCCCGACCGCGGCGACCGCATTTTCGATGGAGGCGAAAATGCTCGAGGACCATATGCTTAGATTAAGGTTCACGTTAAAGAACCCCAGGTGGTCGAAATTTCTGGACCCCATCACTAAGGTCTCCCAATAAACTCCAAGAAGTATTATTATTATTAGTAATGTCTGAAAAAAAAAACATGTCGAACAAACGCAGTTTACACGACGTGTAATACCATCATTGTTTGCAGCTCTCCCGGTGGCTACTTGTTTCGCTTGCAAGAGAGAGGCGACAGTTTTCTTTTAATTCTTATTGCTTTGAACGACGTATTACTTGCATACTCGAACCCAACAAATTGTTATAGGGTCACGAACGATTCTAACAGCGCAAGAAATATGCAAAAGCAAATACTTGAAACAAGTGTATCAACAATTTCTCGCTGAAGTAAGACCGTGATCCACTCGCGTATACTTACCTCAGTAAGGGATCTTGCCTATAGTTTTACGTTCTGCTTCTCTTTCTAGATCTGGACCTGGTGAACAGCTTCGCGAGTCGGGACATCCTGACGGCCGGAAGTCGGGGCAACAGTGAAGGAAATGACGAGGCAGCCATGGCGATCATCATGAGCTTGCTGGAAGTGGACGCTGGATTTGGTGCACCGGTGGACTTCAGTGGCATGCTGGGGCCCTTGCCTTGAGACACCCGTTCGCACTCCTGTTTACGCGGACCTCTCGCGAACCGCTTCTCACGTCGAACAGAGAATACAGAATCTATGGACACTCATGCGAAGACATTGCATGTTTTCTGTATTCACTCCGAAGTGCGTGTACTTTACCGCACAGAACACGCTTCGGCAAAGACCGAGCCCAGAAGGAAACGTTTCAAGGAACTGACGTTCATCTCTTCCAGCGTGGTTCGCGGTAAACCACGTGGCGTACTTGTCGTACAGTGCTGGTTTAATTATTTAGGCTTCCTGTGTTTTAACAGCAAGTTCTGCTTCGATAATGTGCTCCATTATTTCCCTGTCCACAGATTGGCATGGGACCATGTGATACAGCCGCTTCGCTATGGTCGTTAAGATATACTGTACACCCTTGCTGCGCCTTCCCTGAATGCGTAGACGCACACATTTGGAATCACAGGCCTCAATAAAAGATTAATTAAGGAGCACTGTGACGAAGCACTGCGCTGACAGTGGTAGAGATCACTTGCAATCGGACTGGAGCACGTTTGAAGCTGCTTGTACAGTAATCGTAAAACAGGCAACACAAGTGTCTTATTTACCTCGTTTCTGCGTCGCCTTCTTTGCAAAGCATCAGCCGATGCCCATACTTTGAGCCCTCGAAGGCACGTGATCTGATGCGGGCTTAGCTGACACGCAGTTGGAAGTAATAGAGTTACGATTCTGTCGACGCACCATGTCATATTCAATAAGTCTAGTCGTCGCAGCCGTGTTGTCGACATCATGTGAGCTGTTATACCACGGAATATACCGAAACATTACTCTACTTGCAGCAAAGGTAAATAAAGTTAAAACCGAGCAACAGTCCGAGTCACGTTGCGCAAGTTTGAACGGTGTGCTTGATCTTAACGACAATCGTGGTTCGTGTCATAAATTCCACAAGCAAATGGAGATATACAGCCAACTAAACTGAGAGATGAGTTAGCGTTCGCCATAAGGTGTCTGTTGCGACGGTTTTATAATAAAAGAAATAGCGCAGTGTTATGGTGTATATGAGGGAAACTAACGGCAAGTGTGCTCGTAAAATCAAGAACCGCGTATGCGAGTGTTTTTGTCAAGATCAAGGTAGCATTACATGAGGTCACGATATGTTTGTTTCATGGCCTATTGTATTAAAGTTATTCACTTTGTCTTGTTCCAAATACATATGTTTGAAGGATTTTGACATGTTTGTTGATGTTGTCGTTATTCTTGTGCCATTGGAGGGCCGTTTGTCTGAGCGATCTTCGCGACGAGCAATTCTGTGACAGAAAAGGAAGATGTTTCTGATGAGCCTATTCGGGGTACTCATCAGTGCCATCACACAAGTAACACACGACCCCGATTTGGAGCATTCTATTCAGCGATGGCTTGGGCATTTGAAACTTCATCGCAAAATCTTCACGTGGAACAGTGTGCTACGAAGCTACCCAAGGGTGCTACTTTCTTAATCGGCGCGGTTATCGGTGAGCCTTGTTACAGCGACTGAGTTCTCCGGAATTCCGCAAGGAAGTGAAGGCTTATGAAAGGGAGGAATGACAGCCACACGTTAGTAGCATGAACCCACGAAGAAATTCGCAAGGATTTTTCGAACAAAGATGTTCGAGTTGTAGGAAAATTTGTCTTGGTTCCCGGACCAGGACGAATTTTTCTTCAACTAGAACAACTTCGTCTGCGTATTCTTATTTTTTTTTCTTAATGCGGAAGAGAGAGATAAACGAAGTAGAGAGACAGGGAGGTTAATCAAGCTAGGACTTCGGTCAATGGGCTACCCTACTCAACCAGAAATCCGTGACAGAAATATGGTTCACATGGTAAAATATCTTCGCTAAAGAAGGTCGGAATAACTTCAGCAAGTGCGCTTTTTTAGCCCAGTGGCTCAGGTACTCGGACATAGCAGTGTGGTACCATGGGTTCGAAACTGAGCACAGCTTCGAAGTATTTCTTTATTTTACACGTCTATTCAGGTTCAGGGATGCACACGTCCTGCAAGTCTGGGTATTTAGACCAGTGGGTAAGACCACTCGCCTTTGGAGCGTGGGGCCCTAGGTTCGAAATTCAGTGCAGTCTTGCGATTTTTTTATTTGATACGTGAATTTCTTCGTGGCTCATTCATGAGGTTCAGAGATAGTGATGCTGTGCATCCCTGGGACCTTTAGCACAGTGGTTAAGGAACTCGCCTTTGGAGCGTGAGCCAGTACTTCCGAAACTCAACGCAGCATACGCGTTTTATTTTCTATATATGTTTCTTCAGTGCAATTTGTATTACGTGGTAGAGAGACGGATGGTTGGACATCACCTTTTTATCATGGAGGCGGCTTTTATGCCATCGACGTATACGGAAGCTCCGCTCACAGTCTACTTTTCGAGCAGTGTCATCAAGTCATCAACCAATCTTTACGAATCAAGTAAGAAAACGGGTAATACAGGGCATGTAAATGTGCAGGAGATGTCACATGGTTACAAACTGCAGGCTGGAGGGAATTAATAAGCGTGAAATTTATTGTAAGAACTCTGTGATAGGAGCTCCACTTTAGAGTCACGTCACACCTTGCAAAGACTGACCTCCTGTGCGCGCAGGAGCCACCCGAGCAGAAGCTTACTCTAATACTTTGACTTTTCCGCAATGCATGAAAAAAAAAGCAGTCGAAAAAGTGGAGGCCCTTATCACCCCTGATAAGGCTCAATTTTTGTCTGACGTCATCAGATTTTTTTAGCCGTTTCCGACATATGCTAACCGAAAATATGCAATATTAGGTTCACCGCTTCAAGGTGTGACGTCAAACAAAAGTTGAACCTTATCAGGGGTGATAAGAGCCTCAAGTTTTTTCGGCCGTTTTGGGCATGTATCGCAGTGAAGCCAACGCATAACGGGAACCTTCCACTTGGAAGGAACGCGTAGCGGGCCCGTCGCCGCAAGGTGTGACGTCAGACAAAAGTTGAACCTTATCAGAGGTGATAAGGGCCTCAACTTTTTTCGGCCGTTTTGGGCATGTATCACAAATAAGCTAACGCATCAGAGGAACCTTACGTTTGGAAAGAACGGGTAGCGGTCCCAACGCCGCAAGTTGTGACGTCAGACAAAAGTTCAGCCTTATCAGGGGTGATAAGGGCCTAAAAATTTTTCGGTGGCATTGAGCATGTATTGCAGTGAAGCCAACGCACCAGGGAAACTTTCCGTTTGGAACGAACGCGTAGCGGGCCCATCGATGCAAGGTGTGATGTTAGACAAAAGTTGAGCCTTATCGGGGGTGATAAGGGCCTCAACCTTCTTCGGCCGTTTTGGGCATGTATCGCAGTGAAGCCATCGCACAACGGGAACCTTCTGCTTGGAAGGAACGCGTAGTGGGACCATCGCCGCAAGGTGTGACGCCAGAAAAAGGTTGGGCATTATCAGGGGTGATAAAGGCCTCAACTTTTTTCGACCGTTTTGGGCATGTATAGCAGTGAAGCCAACGCATCAGGGGAACCTTGCGTTTGGAAAGAACGGGTAGTGGTCCCATCGCCACAAGTTGTGACGTCAGAAAAAAGTTGAGCCTTATCGGAGGTGATAAGGGCCTCAACATTTTCGGCTGCTTTCTGGACATGCATTGCGGGCAAGCCAACGCACAAGGTGAAGCTTCAACTCGGGAGACTATAAACGTACAGTATATCCTTCGTTGCACAGTGGAACGTCGGACAAATTTGAGCCTTATCAGGGGTGATAAGGGCCTCAACTTTTTCGGCTGCTTTTCGACATGCATTGCAGGAAAGTCATTGCATCAGGGGAAGCTTCAGCTTGGGAGGCTCTACTATAAACGTAGTATAAGCTTCCTTGCACAGTGTGATGTCAAACAAAAGTTTAATATTGTCAGGGGTGATAAAGGCCACAGCATTTTTTGGCCGTTTTGGACATGTATCGTGGTGAAGCCAGCGCATCAGGGGACTTTTTCATTTGGAAAGAACGCGTAGCGGGCCCATCGCTGCACGTTGTGAAGTCAGACAAAAGTTGAGCCTTATCAGCGGTGATAAGGACATAAACTTTTTTCGGTGGTTTTGGGCAAGTATTGCACTGAAGCCAACGTATTAGGGGAACCTTTCGTTTAGAAAGAACGGGTAGCGGTCCCATCGCCGCAAGTTGTTACGTCAGACAAAAGTTCAGCCTTATCGAGGATGATAAAGGCCTTAACTTTTTTGGCTGTTTTGAGCATGTATTGCAGTGAAGCTAACACATCAGGGGAACCTTGCGTTTGGAAAGGACGCGTAGCGGGCCCATCGCCGCAAGGTGTGGTGTGAGACGAAAGTTGAGCCTTATCGGAGGTGATAAGGGCCTCAACTTTTTTCGGTGGCTTAGGGCACGTATTGCACTGAAGCCAATGCATCAGGGGAACCTTACGTTTGAAAAAAAAAAACGCGTTGCGGGCCCATTGAGGCAAGTTCTGACGTCAGACAAAAGTTGAGCCTTATCAGGGGTAATAAAGGCCTCAAATTTTTAGGCTGCTTTCTTGACATGCATTGCGGGCAAGCAAGCAAACGCACCAGGGGAAGCTTCAGCTTGTCAGATTATAAACGTACAGTATATCCTTCGTTGCACAGTGTGACATCAGACAAAACTTGAGCCTTATCAGGAATGATAAGGGACTCAACTTTTTCAGCTGCTTTTTGATATGCACTGCGGGAAAGGCAACGCATAAAGGGAATCTTCAGCTCGGGGGAATCTAATATAAATGTACAGTATAACCATCGTTGCACAGTGTGACGTCAGACAAAAGTCGAGCCCTATCAGGGGCGATAAGGGCCTCAACTTTTTCGGCTGCTTTTTTGACATGCATTGCGGAGAAGCCAACGCATCAGGGGAAGCTTCAGCTCAGGAGACTCTGATATAAATGTACACTATATCCTTCGTTGTAGGGTGTGACGTCAGACAAAAGTTCAGCCTTATCAGGGATGATGAGGGCCTAACTTTTTCGACTGATTTTCGACATTCATTGCGGGAAATCCACCGCACCAGGGGAAGCTTCAGCTCAGCAGAAAGAAAGAAAGGAAGGAAGAAGCGGAAGGACGCGAACGTTAGCCAGTCCTTAAACTGGCTGGTTCCCATGTGCTGTGGAAGAGGGCAAAGGAAGCATGCTCACCAAATCAGAAACGAAAAGAAAGAAGGACTGTAGATCGTTTTCTTTATCAACGTAAATGCCTTTAGCGTCTAAGTACTCTCATTATTACACATAATCGTTATCCTGAGGACATTGAAGTAAAGTTTGTCGCGTCACTACGTAGTTGTCAGTCTACATCATGAGCAACTAGCACATCTTGGAGATTATTCAGAAGTGGTAATATATATATTAAATCAAATACTGTGGTGTTTAAAAATGTAATAAACCTCCTGTCAGGAAACAGTAAAAGAAAGATAGGTTAGTGGGGTCGGGTTTCGCACCTGGGGCGTAACGATTCAAAGGCGAGTGTCTTCACC